GATCATCATCAGCTGCATCATCATCAGCAGCAGCATCAGCATCATCAGCAGCAGCATTGTAAGCAGCATCAGCAGCATCATCAGTAGCAGCAGCATCATCATGATCATCATCATCATCATCATCATCAGCAGCAGCAGCATCAATATCATCATCGTTCCCCTCACCCGCTCCCTTTTCCATATAGATCCCACCAAACTTTTGGCCCAGGTTGATTAGGGAGCTAGTTGTTTCCAACCTCTGCTTCCCCTTCCGGGGAAAGAGATTCACCCCTTCCCTTAACCCCCTTTTCCTGGGTCTGGAGCCTGCCCTCCGTGAGGGGTCAGAGTATCCAAGAGATGGCCCAAGATGACCCCACGGCTTCCCCAGAGATCCCAGGAGTACCTCCAAGATGGCTCAGGATAGCCCCAGGTTTGCTCAAAATGGCCCCCAAAGTGCCTCCAAGAGGTCTCAGGAGTGCACAAAGACGGCTCCGAATACCCACCGAAGACTCCCAAGGACGCCCCCGAGATGCCAAGATCCGTCCAAGACCGAGAGGGATTCGCTGTGTTCTGCCGTCTCGCCTTTTCGCTTCCGAGGGGCTGGTGGCGCCCCAACATGGCTCCAAGATGGCCCAAGAGAACCCCAACAGGGGCCCCAGGGGACGGCCGCAGAGCGCCCAAGAGCGCCTGAAAATCGCCCCAAGAAGGCTCCAGAGGACGATAGGAATTGTCCCGACGGGGGGGCCGCAACCCGCGCCGCCGTATTGTCTTAGCGATGGCCTCCAATACAGCACCAAGAGGGCCCCCAGGGGCCTCATATATATATAGAGAGATATATATATATATACACACACGCACGCACGCACGCACGCACGCACGCACGCACGCACGCACGCACGCACGCACGCACGCACACACGCACGCACACACACACACACACCACACACACAACACACACACACACACACACACACACCACACACACACAACCCACGCCCGCCGCCCGCCCGCCCGCCCGCGCGCGCGCGCGCGCGCGCGCGCGCACACACACACACACACACAGACACACAGACACACACACACACACACACACACACACGCACACACACACGCACACACTTTTTCCGTCGGCGGCGAGGCAGGAGCAGTCCGCACCAGCGCGAGGCGAATCGGGGCAACCGGAAGGCGAACTGCCCGGCGTGCAGGAGGAAGGGAAGAGGCAGGGCCTCGCACACGATGCCCAGCAGCACGACTGCTGTAGAGTGGCTGCTGCTGCGAAAGGGAGAGAGAGAGAGAGAGAGGCAACGAAGGACGCCGCCGCGCGGATGGCACCGACGAGGCGCCACGCGGGCACGACGAGGCCCCCAGGGCCTCCAGGAGGACCCCGAGAGGGCCCCAAGGGAGCTCCGAAGACACCTAAAATTGCCGCGAGATGGCCCCCAAATGGCCCAGGTAAGCTGCCAAGAGGCTCTCATATCGAAAGATCCGAGAAGCTGGCATTTAGGCATTTACGGTTTCGCAGCTGCCCACCTCTTTGTTTCACTGCTCGTTCTTACACTTCACTGATGAAGGCAACTCCCAGGGGCATCGCTTTCTTGGCGGGCTGGTGGGGACATGCACAGCGTCAAAATTCCTCCCCGTCGCACCACCAAGCGTGTCCGTAGGCCGGCCTGGGCATTTCGCTTTAGACTTTCATGCAACTTGCGAACCCGAAAGTTGGAATGCCGAACAACTACACGGACGGAGGACGGGTCCTTTCCAAAATAGGGCCTTCGCAGTGACGACGCAAACAATCGTCCTAAAAGCTTGTAACGGTTACATGGATGGAGGCTGGACCCTTTTCAAAATGGGGCTCTCGCCTCAACGACGCACACGTTCGTCTTAAAAGCGTGAAACAGTTTCACGGATGGAGACCGATACGTTTTCAAAGTGTGGCTCTCGCCTGAGACTTCCTCTCATTGTGACCAAAGGTGTGAAAGTGTGCAGCAGCTACTCGGATGGAGGGCGATTCCATTTCAAAATGAAGTTCTCGCCTGAGGCGTCCTCATAATCGTCTACCGCAAGCTTGAATCTACATCCCCAGGCCGAAAGACTTTCTTTTCTATGAAACGCCATGGATCCATTTGATATCACTATGGGTGCGCAAGAGTCTCGTTTATCCTATGTATACACCTTCCAGATCCTCTTGTTTGGCGTGGAAGCTTCGTGGAACCTATTCCTTCCCTGGAACAAAAATTAAATGAGAATTGTTACCGTAAGCAGAAAATGGAGGTTCAGGACAGAGGTGAGGAAGGGAACACGTACGAAGACGAGGAGGAAGATGAGGACGATAACAAGGGAGACGGCTGTGGAGCTCAAAAGGAACAACCTTCGGCCTGCGCAGGTATGTGACAGATGCACGATTGGAAGGCTTCTCCTCTTCAAACGTTGAATTCTCGCACGAGCTAGCTCAAAATTAACGGCCAGCAAAGCGAACTTGTGCAGTGGCTACGCGGGTGGGAGGCGGCTCCGTTTCAGCGCGGGGCTCTCGTTGGACACCTCGCTAAACCTTGCGATACTGCCTTGTCGCGTCCACTTCAACTCGCTAGAAGGATGCAGGGCAGCTCCTTTTCAAAACGGAGCTCTAGCCTGAATGGCACGCCCATGGGGCGTTCGTCTCGAAAGGAAGCGTCTCCTGTTGTGAAGTGGAGGGTTTGTAGGGACACATGGGAAGGAAATTTGGGACAAGAAGGTGTATTGCAGCATCGTTCATACAGCTTGGGTTTACTCTGGTCCTCCTCATCCTCCTCACCCTCCTTCCCCCCGAACCCCGTAGCACGCTCGTCCTTCTTAGGGGGGCCTGTGGGGCGTCCTCGGGGTGTCATGGGGGCTTCTTGGGGCCTCTTGGAACCTCTTGGGAGCTTCCCAGGGGCCTCATGTGGCTCTCTTGAGGATCGTGAGGGGCCCTTTGGACCACACTGGGGCTCACCACGATCGACGAGTGCTGGAGGAGGGTTGGGCGGGAAGGAGGCCGAGGACGATGACGAGTGCGTCGAGAACGACGATGACGACGAGGACGACGACGACGACGACGACGACGACGACGATGACGACGACCGATGTCCTCTGGAGGCCTCGAGGGTTCTCCGAAAGGTCCGCGGAAGTCTCCAAAGGTCACCGGGGCCCTCGGGAGGTTCCCGGAATCCATAAGCAGCAAAACAACGTCGAGAACCTCAGTGAGCCTCGATCCACGGCGGCGGCGCGACGACGACAACGACGCCGACGAGGATGGCGGAGGACGCCAGCTGGAGGGACTCCTGGACGCATGCCAGAAGGGCCGTCATGGGGGCTTCTTGGAGCTGTTTTGGGGGCTGTCTTGGGGGTCACCTGGACCGTTTCGGTGATCTCGTGGGCCCATTTGGGGGGCGTCTTGGCCCGTCGTGGAGCCTCTTGGGCCATCTCGGGTCCGTCTGTGTGGTCTTTGGGGTATTTGGGAATGGTTCTGGAACCGTCTTGGGCTCGTGTCGGACTGTCTACGGGCCTCACTGGGCGGTTTTGCACCTCCTACCTGGGGGCACTCCTGAGGCGTCTTGGGGCTCCTCGTGGACCGCACTGGGGTCTTCCTGGGCCGCCTTGGGTGGAGGAGGAGGAGGAGGAGGAGGAGGAGGAGGAGGAGGAGGAGGAGGAGGGGGAGGAGGAGGGGGAGGAGGAGGAGGAGGAGGAGGAGGAGAGGAGGAGGGAGGAGGAGGAGGAGGTCCCTCGTGGGTTCCTCCTGGGCTCGGTGGAGCCGTTGGGGGGGGGGGGGGAGGGGGGGGGGGGGGGGGGGGGGGGGGGGGGGGGGGGGGGGGGCTTCTGGGGCCGCCAGTCGGAGCTCGGGGGACCGAAAAAGCCCTGGAAGCACCCCAAAACGGGGCTCTCTGGGAGGCCCCTCCACGCTCCTTTCGGGGAGACGTGAGACCCGGGCAGGGGACTCTCGGAAATCCCCGACGAGGTCGTCAAAAAAATGACGAGGCCGAGCCTGCATTTTGACGAGGCCTCCCGCTGCAGACATCCCACGAAGCTCCTCCTCGTCAAGATCCGAGGCGCGGCCGTCAAAAAACGATGGCGAACCCGAGTCCTGGCAAACCCGGGTCTTACGCTCCCCCGATCCTTGGGGCAATCTACAGTCGGGGCGTTGACCTAAGGAACGATAAGTAAAGGAACGAGGCCCCTTTCCCCCATAAGTTAAACTCAGATCTCCCATGGAAGACCTCAGGAAGACCCAAGGAGCACTGCAAGACAACCCAGGAACACGGAGCCCCTCCCAAACGAAAAGGGCTCCTCCTTCAGCGGCCCGGCTGTGGGGCCCTCCGTGAGGCCTCGGCAGTCGTGGAGAACGCCCCCGAGGCTCCTGGGGGCCTGCCGACCAGACGATCCCTGGGAGCGCTCCCCCGAGCCCCCGGGGGGCCGCGCAGGGCACCGGAGCCGCCACGGAGGCTCGGGGGCTCCAGGTCGGAGCCAGAAAGGCCGCTCCCCGAGAGACGTGCACAGACGTGAGTGTTGTATTGGCGTGTCTCCTCGCCCCTCCTGCTCTCTGTTTTAATGCTCACTCTTGCTTTCTCTCTCTCTCTCTCTCTCTATATATATATATATATATATATATCCATCTCTCGCTCTCTCTCTATCCCTCTCTCTTTCTCTCTCTCTCTCTCTCTCTCTCTCTCTCTCTTTCTCTTTGTATATATACATATATAACTGAGTATATGTATAGATGTGTGTTGTTGTCTCCCTTGACATGTGTATACATGTCCCTTTCTCTTTCTCTATCTCTCTCTCTCTCTCTCTTCCTCTATCGCTCTCTCTCTCTCTCTCTCTATCTATGTTCCTGTCTCTCTTTCTCTCTATCTCTAACTCTTTCTCTCTCTCTCTCTATCCCTCTCCCTCTCCCTCTCTCTCTCTCTCTCTCTCCCTTCGCGTGTACTCGACAAGGAAACACGAGGTCGTCCTGGTATCCCTTCCTGCCCTTCTCCGCCCGATTCTGTCTCATACGTTCTGCCACGCGCCCTGCGAGGTCCTCATGGAGTTGCCCGCCGTCAGGTGCACCTGGCAGCGCTTGCGAGCGGCTGCGGTGAGGTGCGGGTGGTTCGTGTCCTTCGGAGTCCTCGGGTCGAAGACGGTGTCGTCACGGATCCTGTCGTAGGTGAAAATTCGCTCGTGCTGCGTCTTGCCCCCCTTCTCGAGCACGTTGAACACCGTCCGCTGGTCGTTCATGATGCGATCCTCGCCCGCGGTCTCGATGAGCAGGTTCGCCTCCTTGTGCACGGACCGCATCTCCTTCTTCGTCACCTGCTGGTGGGCCAAGACCTGGGCGACATCATATTCGAAATCACTCAGAATGACAAACCCGTAATCAGACACCCAGGCTCAGACTCACGCACACTAAGACTCATACTCAGGCCCACGCATGCTCAACGACGTACACTCAGCCACTCACATCGTTTCTGCTCACTGCTGCTATGCATGTTCCCCATGAGCAGATCTCTTCTCTCCCCCTCTTCGATCGATCTTGCTCTCTCTCTCTCTCTCTCTCTTCCTATATATATGTGTATAAATATACATATATATCGACCTCTCTGTATCATCCGCTCCCCTCTCCCCTCGCATCACTGTAGTCATCGTCATCACAAGCAACGCTTTCACCACACACCTCAGCATATTCATCATCACCACCCTCATCAGCATCATCATCAGAAGCAGCAGCAGCAGCAGCAGCAACATCATCATCATCATCATCATCATCATCATCATCATCATCATCATCATTATCATCATTATCAATATCATCGTCGATCTTCGTCGTCAACTTCGGCTTCGCCATCATCACCACCACCACAATCCGCCGGCCCCCTTGTGGGGCCACCAGGCTGTAGGGCTAAGGTTCGCAGTTTCCTGTACCAGTTGCAGCTTCCAGTTTCCACTGTTACAGTTCTGCTTCTTGCTGCTTACTGTTCCTTGTTGACTTCTTGCTGCGTACTGTTCCTTGTTGATGGACCGCGCGAGGAGGCAAGGCCCAAAACTGGCATTTTCACCACGCCCAAAACCTATGGTCTGAATTGCTGGGGTGGGTAAAAATCAACACCCCTCACGCAGATCCTCGGGGTCAGGGTCCAAAAACACAAGGGATTTGCCGCATTTCTGAAATTCGGTGGCACCCCTCACGCAGATCGGCGGGGTCAGGGTCCAAAAACAAAAAGGATTCGCAACATTTTTGAAATTCGGTGGCACCCCTCACGCAGATGGGCGGGGTCCGGGTCCAAAAACACAAAAGGTTTGCCACATTTCTGAAATTTGGCGGCACCCCTCACGCAGATCGGCGGGGTCAGGGTCCAAAAACACAAAAGGTTTGCCACATTTTTGAAATTTGGCGGCACCCCTCACGCAGATCGGCGGGGTCAGGGTCCAAAAACATAAAGGGGATTTGCCACATTTTTGAAATTTGGCGGCACCCCTCACGCAGATCGGCGGGGTCAGGGTCCAAAAACATAAAGGGGATTTGCCACATTTCTGAAATTTGGCGGCACCCCTCACGCAGATCGGCGGGGTCAGGGTCCAAAAACACAAAGGGGATTTGCCACATTTCTGAAGTTCGGCGGCACCCCTCACGCAGATCCGCCGGTCAGGGTCCAAAACCAAAGGGATTTGCCACATTTCTGAAATTCAGCGGCACCCCTCACGCAGATCCGTAGGGTCAGGGTCGAAAAACAAAAAGGTCCCGACACTGCTTCACGGCGGCGCCCAGACCTCATGATTTAGCTTGTGCATCTCCCATTATCCAAGAGAAGGGGCCGGCGGCAGGGGGCGAAGCCCTTACGGATAATCATCATCATCACCACTCCCAACACTATCAGCATCAGCATAATCATCTTCATCATCATCATCATCATCACCACCATCATCATCAGCAGCAGCATCATCATCATCATCATGAACAGCATCCTCATCAGCAGCATCATCAGCAGCATCAGCATAACGATCATCACCGTTATTATCAGCATCATCATCATCATCAGCAGCAGCATCAGCATCATCAGAATCACTAGCGTCATCATCAGCATCATCATCAGCATCATCATTGTCATCCATACCGGCACCGCTACCACCATCCTCAGTATCATCATCAGCATCATCAGCAGCAGCATCATCAGAATCTTGATCAGCAGCATCATTACCACCACCATCCCCAACACCCTCACCACCATCATCACCATCAGCATCAGCAGCAGCATCGTCATCGTCATCGTCATCATCATCAGCATCGTCGTCATCATCATCAGCATCATCACCATCATCCATTATCATGATCAGCATTATCGTCACCATCATCATCATCATCATCACCATCAGCATCATCAGCATCATCAACATCGTCACCACCATCATCATCATCATCATCATCATCATGATCACTGTCGTCGTCATCATCATCATCATCAGCATCACCATCGTCATCGTCATCGTCATCATCACCATCATCGTCATCACCATCATCATGAGTATCACCATTCATCGTCGTCATCATCATCAACATCATCATCGTCATCGTCATCGTCATCCACATCATCATCGTCGTGCTCTTCCCCTCCCTCCATGTCTATCTCGTCCTCATCATCATCCTCATCACAATTCTCATCATCCTCACCAACATCACCACTATCGTCGTAAACATAGCCATCCTCACAATCATTGCTACGTACCTTGTTTCACATGTCTCCTCATTCTCCTCCTCCTCCTCCTCCTCCTGCTGCGCTTCCTGCTCCTCCTCATCATCATCCTCCTCGTCATCATCATGATGATGATCATCATTACAGCATCATCATCATCAGCAGCAGCAGCATCATCAGTATCATCATCACCATCATTACCATCACCATCATCAGCAGCATCAGCATCGTCATCGTCGTCGTCATCGTCGTCCTCGTCGTCCTCGTCATCGTCATCGTCGTCCTCCTGCTCCTCCTTCTCCTCCTCGTCGTCGTCACCCTCCTCAGTCCCCTCCTCGTACTCCTAGCCCTCCTCCCCCTGCCCTGATCCTCCTCTCCATCTCCAAGTCAGAAGCATATCAAAAAAAAGATCCCCGAAGCTGCTTGGAGCGCCATCCAGACCCGTTTCCGAGACCGCACCCGGCCATCAAGACGAGGTGGCCCTCGAAGGCCTAGAAAAGGAGGAGGAGGAGGAGGAGGAGGAGGAGGAGGAGGAGGAGAGGGAGGAGTTCCTCCACTCCCTCCACGTCATCATCGTCTTCGCCCTCGTCCTTGGCCTCGTCGTCATCCTCCTTTTCTCCGCGTCGTCCTTCTCAACCTCGTCCACGCCCCTGATCACTCGTCATTACTCCTCGCTTCTCTGTCTTCCTCCTCCTCCTCCTCATCATCCTCCTCCTCATTCACCACAGCCACCATCATCATGCTCATCCTCATCCCCATTCCCCATTATCGTCCTCCTGCCTCCACAAATCCTGGCTAAAACCACACCTCGTTCGGGGTCTCTGGTCTCTGGCTCTTCGCTCCTCCTTATCCTCCTGCTCTTCCTCGTTCACCACAACAACCATAATCAGCATCATCGTCGTCATCAGATGCGGAAGCAGCAGCAGCAGCAGCAGCAGCAGCAGCAGCATCAGCATCATCATCAGTAGCAGCATGCCCATTAACAACAATGACGGCCATCTTGCGAACATGTGATTTAACATGTTGTTTGACCTTCATATGTTTATCCCCTTCCCTTTTACCCGCCCTCTACATCCACGAACCAGCCCCATGTTGGGGCGGGCGTCTTGTCATACCACTCCTGAGCTCTCAGCACAGAAAACGGCTTCGGAACTGAACTGAACTACCTGAACCGAACCGGGCCGAACCGAACCGGTGCACACTGTTGTTTTCTCAACGCGAACCGAACCGAACCGAACTGGCCTGTTTCGACACTCGAACCGAACCGAACTGGGTTCGAACTTGATCCCTAACAGGGCCCGACCTCCTTCCGAACCGGACTGAACCGGACCGAAACGAACCGAATCGGACCACGACGAACAAGACGAGCGCGACGAGTACGACGAGCACGACGAGTGCGACGACGCGCACGACGAGTGCGACGACGAATGCGACGAGTACGACGGACACGACGAGTGCGACGAGTGCGACGAGCACCACGAAACACGACGAGCGCGACCTGGGCCCTCCCCCTGCGGCCCTCCCCCTGCGGCCCCCCTCGAGAGGCCCTCCCTCGAGAGGCCCTCCCTCGAGAGGCCCCCCTCGGGGGCCCCTCCTCGGGCGCCCCCCCTCTGCAGCCCCCCTCGGCGGCCTCCCCTATCGGGTGCCCCCCCTCGGGCGCCCCCTCTAGGGGCTCCCCCCTCGGAGGCCTTCCCGTCGGGAGCCCCCCCCCATCGGGAGCCCCCCCTCGCACGGCCCCCTCGCACGGCCCCTTCCTCGGGTGCTCCCCATCGGCGGAGCCACCCTCGGGAGCCCCCCCTCGGCGCCTCCCCCTCCCCTCGAGAGGCCCCCCCCTCGGCGGCCCGCCTCGGGTGCCCCCCCCCTCGACGGCCTCCCTCGGGAGGCCCCCCTCGACGGCCCCCTCTCGGGCGGCCCCCCTCGGGCCCCGCACCGAAGCGGAGCACGGAGGACGATAGCGACGACGGTGAGGACGACGACGATGGCGGTGATGACGACGGCGGCGCCGACGCTGACGACGAGAGCCACGAAGATGCTGCTGAGGAGGGCCCCAGGTCGAGGATTTCAAGCCCTCCGACGACTGACGACGGACGGCGAGGGCGGAGACGGCGGCGGCGGCGAGGGCGGTGGCGGCCAGGGCGAGGACGAGGCAGCGAGGCCGAGGACGGCGACGGCGGCGGCGGCGGCAACGACGAAGACGAGGACGATGCGGCGAAGCGCCTGCAAGTCGGCGGCGTGGCCGCCACCGCGGCCAGACTGACCCACAACCCAGGCACGGTGGCGGGATGGGTCGAAGGCCAGTAGAGTGCTAGTCTCTCGAACTGGCTACAACAATGGCAGCAACCATGACAGAAGAGTCGCCACCAGTATTACCACCATCATAACTAATACCATCATCCGCATCAGGATCACAATTAACATCACAATCGTCATCAGCATCACCCCCGCCGCCGTAATTTCTGGCGTCATCCCAATCATCATCCTGCTCCTCCTCCTCCTCCTCCTCCTCCTCCTCCTCCTCCTCCTCCTCCTCCTCCTCCTCCTCCTCCCCACCATCGTCATCGTTATCACCACAAGCAGCATCATCACCATTACCATTACCATTACCATCACCATCACCATCATCACCACCAGCATCATCATCATCAT